CGTTGCCCCTCTGGGTGCCGGTGGCCTGGGTGGCATTGAGTGGCCTTCTAGACTCCACTCCCCAGTTCCTGGCTGAGGTCAGTGCAGTGCTGTCGGATTTCCAGCCAATTCCCCGTTGTTGTTGGGGCTTCGTTTGCTCCCTGCAGCGCCGCGCGTACGCCTCCCCCTCCCCTCTATCCCTTCCTGTCGTTGCTGCTGTTGCGTTACTTGCTGCATCCTGCAGCTGCATATGTGTCGTCCCCAGCCCTCCTGTGCTCTTGGACCGTCGTTTTCTATCGACAGCGCCGCGTGCACTTCTCCTGCTGCTGCTCCTCCTCCACCTTCTCCTTGCCTTCCTTTTCCTCCTTCTCGTCGTCGTCCTCGTCCTACTTGATATAACCCTACACCCTCATACTCTCCAACTCCACCTCCTGCTCCTCCACCACGCACTCGGCATACCCCTCGCAAGGACCGCGCCCCACAAGGAGCTCCGCCTGAGGCCCCAGTGGGCAAGTCCACACGCCGCCCCCCTGCACATGTCGGCACACCCCTCGCATGCATCGCGCCCCACAGAGAGCTCCACCTTGCCATCGCTCGGACGTGCATTCCCCGTGCATTTTTCGGTTTCGTGCGTGCACTTTCGCCAGATGACCCAGCATGCTCCTCGAGGGTCCTCGCCGGGAGAAACATGACACGTCCAGGCGGTGCCAAGCCACCTGCGGCCTCAGTGGGCGTCCTCGCACGCGGTCTCAGGCCCATGTCGGTAAACCCCTTACACGGACGATTGACCCATGGGGAGCTCAGCGCGCCCCTGCGCGCCGCACCTCCCTGCGGCGCGCAGGACATGATGAGAGGGCCACGCCCTGCGCTACACGCAGCATAGGGTTGGGCCCCTCGCCAGGCGCAGTCTGCGTAAGCCAAGATGCCCCCACCCCAAGGCCATACATTTTCGCTGTCCCGTCCATACCTGTCTCTGCCCAGCTTCACCTGTCCCTCCAAGAACTCCCCCCCCAAAGCCCGAGATGCTCGTAGGACGGCACGCTGCGATCCCAAGAAGCCTCCAAAAAACCTAAATGGCCCCCAACATGCCGGAAGAGGTCCCGAACAAGCCACCAACTCGTTCTCAAGAGGCCCCCAACTGGGCGCTACATCCCCAACAAGTCCCCAACGCAACCGAAGAGACCAATCTGGTCGAGTAGGCCTCCGATAGGCTCCCAACAGGTCCCTGAGAGAGGCGCGACGCTGGATTACTTTTGGCCTGGCACACGTTCTTGCTGCCTCCTGCTCCTGCTCGCGTTCTTGCTCCTCCTGCTTTTCCTGCTTCTGCTGCTACTCCTGGACATCTTTCTCTCCGTCCTGGTCCTCGTCGTCGTCCTCCTCCGCGTGCGGGCACGAAGATGATCACAGATGCGTTGGCGTGCTCCCTCTCCTCCTCGTGTGTGCACATAGTTGTGTCCTCCCTCGTGTGACCACTCCGAATCAGACTGGTCCACGCTCAACCAGACAAGACCAGTCTAGACTCGATCGGACCAGGCCAGATCACACAGTACTGGGAAAGACCAAAACAGACCACAATGTCTACCCCGACCAGACCACACAAGACCAGGCCAGACCTGACCAAAACACAGCGTACTGGACCGAATCAGTGAAGACTGAAAAGGACATGAAGAATTGGGAGGAGAAGGAGGAGGAATGAGAACAACATGATCGACCCACGAACCCGGAAAGGAATATAGAAATGTAACGCATGGCAACGTTTTCAAAGACACCTGATTGGGTGGCGGGCAAGTGCAATGCTGATTATATCGATCTTGATGTACCGTGCCGAGGGCTGTGCTGTGCTGCGCCGTGCTGAATTGCGATGTGCCATGGCGCGATTGTGCTAGCCTCGTGGATCGAGTCCTCCTTTGCATCCGAGTCCTGACCGAACTGATCTGGATCTGAAGCTCGAGCTGCCTGATACACATAGTAGCTGCCCCAGAGCTAATGGACAGGGGGACATGCCAGGAGGACGCGCCGCGAAACGTCCCAAGGGATGCGCCAGGCGACAGGGGACATGGGGTGGACGTGCCATGGGGACGCGCGGGACGTGCCAAGGGGCCAATGGATGTGCCACGGGGACGCGCCACGCGACGTGCCAGGGGGACTCGCCAAGGGACGCCCCACGGAACGTGCCAAGGAACGTGCCAACCAAATTGCAATGCTGAGTGTATCGATCTTGATGTACCGTGCCGAGGGCTGTGCTGTGCTGCGCCGTGCTGAATTGCGATGTGCCATGGCGCGATTGTGCTCTAGCCTCGTGGATCGAGTCCTCCTTTGCATCCGAGTCCTGACCGAACTGATCTGGATCTTGAAGCTCGAGCTGCCTGAACACATACACATAGTAGCTGCCCCAGAGCTAATGGACAGGGGGGACATGCCAGGAGGACGCGCCGCGAAACGTCCCAAGGGATGCGCCAGGCGACGTGCCAGGGGACGTGCCATGGGGTCGCACCGCGGGACGTGCCAAGGGGACGCGCTACGGAACGTGCCAATGGATGTGCCACGGGATGTGCCAGGGGACGCGCCACGCGACGTGCCAGGGGGACTCGCCAAGGGACGCCCCACGGAACGTGCCAAGAAACGTGCCAAATTGCAATGCTGAGTGTATCGATCTTGATGTACCGTGCCGAGGGCTGTGCTGTGCTGTGCCGTGCTGAATTGCGATGTGCCATGGCGCAATTGTGCTCTATAGCCTCGTGGATCGAGGCCTCCTTTGCATCCGAGTCCTGACCGAACTGATCTGGATCTGAAGCTCGAGCTGCCTGAACACATAGTCACATAGTAGCTGCCCCAGAGCGAATGGACAGGGGGACATGCCAGGAGGACGCGCCGCGAAACAAGGGATGCCCAGGGACGTGCCAGGCGACGTGCCGGGGTCGCACCGCGGGACGTGCCAAGGGGACGCGCTACGGAACGTGCCAATGGATGTGCCACGGGATGTGCCAGGGGACGCGCCACGCGACGCACATAGTAGCTGCCCCAGAGCTAATGGACAGGGGACCATGCCAGGAGGACGCGACGCGAAACGTCCCAAGGGATGCGCCAGGCGACGTGCCAGGGGACGTGCCATGGGGTCGCACCGCGGGACGTGCCAAGGGGACGCGCTACGGAACGTGCCAATGGATGTGCCACGGGATGTGCCAGGGGACGCGCCACGCGACGTGCCAGTGGGACTCGCTAAGGGACGCCCCACGGAACGTGCCAAGCGAGCGTGACGTGAATCCTCTGAATTCCTGCGAGCGGGACGTGAAAACAAGCATTTCGCCTGAGACATCCTCTCAATTCTGGCACCCCACGAGACCCCCGCTCGAGATATCCCTCCCAATTTTGCAAAGCCAGCGTTTCGCTCGAGACATCCTCAACAAATTATGAAAAACAAGCGTTTCGCTCGAGAAATCCTCTCAAAATCACAAGAAATCCTCGCCAAACAAACCAATTTGTCGAGACATCCTCAACATTCCTGCGCGCGGGACGCGGCACGCGCGAGACATCCTCTGAATTCCTGCGAGCGGGACGTGAAAACAAGCATTTCGCCTGAGACATCCTCTGAATTCTGGCACCTCACGAAACCCCCGCTCGAGACATTTTGCAAAACCAGCGTTTCGCTCGAGACATCCTCGACAAATTCTGAAAACAAGCGTTTCGCTCGAGACATCCTGCCAGAATCCAAAGAATTCCTGGCAAATCAAGCGAATTAGTCGAGACATCCTCAACAAATTATGAAAAACAAGCGTTTCGCTCGAGACATCCTGTGAAAATCCAAAGAAATCTTCGCTAAACAAACGAATTAGCCGAGACATCCTCAAAATTCCTGCGCGCGGGGCGCGGCACGCGCGATACATCCTCGGAATTCCTGCGCGCGGGGCGTGAAAACAAGCATTTCGCTTGAGACATCCTCTCAATTCTGGCCACCCACGAGGCTCCCGCTCGAGACATCCCCCAAATTTTGCAAAACCAGCGTTTCGCTCGAGACATCCTCAACAAATTCTGGAAAACAAGCGTTTCGCTCGAGACATCCTGCCAAAATCCAAAGAAATCCTCGCAAAACAAGCGAATTAGTCGAGACATCCTCGAAATTCCTGCGCGCGGGACGCGGCACGCGCGAGACATCCTCGGAATTCCTGCGCGCGGGGCGCTTTTCCGAGTCGCGGTCGGGGCTCCAGACCCCGTTATTTTTCGAGGATTCTGCGAAAAACGCTCCGCACCCTCTTTTTTACGAGGGAAAGCGGGGGTCTGCGGACCCCGTTATTTATCGAGGATCCGAGATGGGGGGCGAACTTTCCTCGAGCGGGCACGCACAAAACGCACTTTTTCAAAAAAAATCAGCACTTTACCTCGTTATTTATCGCAAATAATTTCGCCGGCGCTTGACCCGTCAGGACCGGGGGGTAAACAGCTAAAAGAGAACCCTGGGCCCACGCCCTTTCCGGGAAAAACTCAATTTCACCAAAAGGATGGAACAATAACCGTAAGAACTTCTCAACATAATGCAACACTGTTTTCTGGATGGACTCGTGTGGACATGCGAGGCGAAACCAAACACATGTAGACGTCGACGGTGAGGTCCCAGAGTCTCCCCAAATGTCTGCTCTACGCGGAATTCCCTCTGACCCCTTGAGCCTCGGCGGGCTGTTGAACATTTGTTCTGGCCTCCGTTGATGGGGTGTGGTCTCACCAGGAGCTGCCGGAAGGCAGCACGCCTGCTTGAACCTGACCTCCGAGATACGTCCAATTGTGTGTGAGACGGGTGAAGAAGCCTTCACCTCCTCGCTGGTCGCTGCGTACGAAGGTCCCCCCTCTACCTCCTCTCTTCTTTCCCCTCGAAGTACCGTGCTCGAGTGTGTGTGTGTTCGAGAATGTGCCATACAGTGAAGATGAAATGCATCTTGCCCACCGTGCTGCCTCTGCACAGTATTGCACAGTATATATACTTTGGTTATCCAGCAGCAGGGTAACCTGGAAAAGAGATAGGGGAACGCCTTCGGCAGCCCAGGCCAGTTTGCTGGGAATGATGTCGGTCGGTGCGAATCGAACAGGTTGTCGAGCAGACATCTCACCTGGGATGAGTCGCGCACCACTGGCTGTCGATTCATCACGGGCGCACCCTGTCATTCCATGTGTACACTTGAGTGCTGCGCGAGAGGTGCATAGTAGGAACATGCACGCGCATGCATGCTCTGCTGGAGCTTGATTGCAAGCGTGCTCACTGATGACGCCCTTTGAAGACCATGCTCGCGATGCGATGCTCTAACCTTGCCCAACGGCCTCTGCTGTGATCCGATAGCTGTGATCCATCCAATCTGACTGGCATGCTCGGGTCTTGAGAAGTTCATCGTCGAAACATGATCGGCTCAAATATTCAAGGGAACGATGGGAACTTGCTCAGAAAACGTGTTTTCCATAATTGTTCCGGTCCAGAACTTTTGCTCAGCGTGTCGAGGAGGCGGCCCCGGCGACACGCTATTCCCTGCGAGCTGATATCGTGTTGCTCCGCCCCGCGAGGCGGGAGGCGGGGAACAACTCGCAACATAGACGCTTAGGGACTGGAAACCAACGAGCGTGTCGCGCCGAGTGGTGGACAAAATCCGGCGGCGAGGCACGCTGAACGAGCGTTCCTTACCGTATGTCGTCCAGAGCCGCCGGACGCCTGGGCCTGAGAAGCCTCCGAGAGGCGTTCCTTGACCTTCGCTGACCTGATGTATCCAATCCGCGGCCCCAAGTCTCGACTGCTTCCCCTGGAGTATTCTCGTTCCGGATGAATTTTCGATGGTCACCAGCCCGAAAACGGCCCCAGAAGGTCGAAATCGAGAAATAACTTGCATGACATAAATTATATCTGAAGTCCCCTGACCGTCTAGCTGCCGCGCAAAACGAAAAAACTGCTCACCCAGTGGAGCTGCGGCTGCCAATGCGGCCGTGCGGGCTGGCTGCCGCAGCGGCTGCCCAATGCAACTGGGCACTTCAGAAGGGCAGCTGGAGCTGCCTGTGGGGCCGCTTGAGCCCTCGCCGCTTAAGCTTTGGGGCGCAAGTGGCCTGAGAGGTGAGATGGGAGGAGGAAGACGAGTTTATTGTGGATTGAATGCTGCGATCAGAGTGCTGGGGCATGGGTGGAGGAGGGGAACGACAAGAGCACTAGCTCACAAGCGGAAGGCGCAATCGACCCCCGAATAGGTGAGAGGCCACCCGCCACGCCAGGATCACGCATCGCCAACCCGCAGACGGAGCCCGACGCAGAAGAGGGGCGGTCGGCGGTGGGCGTGGAGGGGGAGAGGGGGAAGGGGAGGGAGTGCAGGAGGAAGAAGGGGAGGGGGAGGGGCTGGCTGTCAAGTGGATTCCGCATCGGGGCTCGCTGCTGGGTCGGCGCCGCCCACTGCCGTCTGGGAGCCCCACTCGCGCGATGGCACTTCTGGGGGAGTGAAGGGGGAAGGGGAAGGAACTGGTTGTCTAAATCATCCCTGATCGAAATCAGCTGTTGAGCCACTACTACTTGGAATGACCACGCGCGTGATGGCACTTCCAACGCGCTCTTATTTTCGATTCACTTGCGCTCGATGGTGTGCTCCTACTCGTGTTCCTCATCCCGCTCCTGCTCCCTCCTCCTCCTCCTCCTCCTCCTCCTCCTCCTCCTGTTCCTCCTCCTCCTCTTCTCATCCAACCATCAGACCCTCCTTCCCTCCCTTCCTCTCTTCCTTCTCCTCTTGCTTGTTCCTCCTCCTGCTGCCTCCTCCTCCGCATCCCCCCCCCTGGTGAGGAGGATGAGGACGAGAGGAAGCGGGAGGAAAAGCGAGGAGGATGAGGAGGAGCGATACAATCGTATGTGAAGAAGGGCACGGAGGAAACGGCGACGGTTGTGCAGACAAGTCGAGAGTGACGAGAAGAGGGTGGGACCAATATTATAAGAAGGCTCTGGAAAAGGACGGAGGAGAAAGAGGAAGAGGATGCATATGAGGATGAGGAGGAAGAGGACGAGGATGCACATGAATACGATGCTACCTCCCTCTGATTCTGCTGAAGCTGCTGAGGATGCTGACGATGACAATGATGACGATGATGATGATGCTGATGGTGCTGATGCTGACAACGATGACAATGATGATGAGGATGATGATCATGACGCTGCTGCTGCTGCATATGATGATCATGATGCTGATGAGGATGATGATGACGATGACTATGCTGATGCTGCTGTTGTTGTTGCTGTTGTTGATGTTGTTGGTGATGATGATGATGCTGATGATGATGCTGAGGCTGATGATGCTGATGCTGATGATGATGATGCTGCTGCTGATGATGATGATGATGACAATGATAGTGATGCTGATAATGATGATGATGACGATGATGAAGATGATGACGATGACGATGACGATGACGATGACGATGACGATGATGATGATGCTGCTGCTGCTGCTGATGATGATGATGATGATGATGATGATGATGATGATGATGATGATGACTGAAGGGGGAGTACAAGATGCAAGATGGTGAAGCTTCGGGTTGCGCAGGCAGCCCTCCCCAGGCAGTCCTCGCTGGCCCCAGCAAGCCCCCCCCAACAGTCCCTGCTGACCTCGACCAGCCTCCCGAGTAGTCTGGGGCAGTCTCGACACTCCAGCGCCGCCTCTGGCGGCTGGCGCCGCCTCTGGCAGCGCCCCGCGGGGCGCTCCGAGCTCCAGGGTCGGCGTGTTGAGACCGCCCTGGACCAGTGTACGTTTTTCTAATTCGGCGTTTCGACGTTGGGCGGAGGGGGGGCGGAGGCGGGGGCGTCTGACTCTGGACCTCTGCTTAACGCGACTGTTTGCAACAGTGCGTCCTATGAGGGAGACTCCACCTGCTTGGAAGATCCACCCCATGGGGGTGTGGGGGGAAGAGGGGGTGCGAGGGCACGCACCTGTCGGCAAAACAATGAACAAAGAAAGGATCACCTACTCGGGGGACCTGTTGAGGCCAGCTGGGACTGCTCGGGGCCTGCTGAGGCCAGCCGGGACAACCTGTGGGGGTTGTCTGTGCGCAGCGACTTGCCAATACAAGATGCAAGAGCTGGCCTACGTCTTGAAGGCCGCAGTCCGCGGAGGAGGAACGGGTGAAGGACAGTCATGGCAGTGAGACTGCCAGGAATTCAAGGGAGAGAGGGAGGAGGAAGCCTACCCCCACATACATACGCCACCCCTGGAGGAGCGAGGTGTCCGTCTGTGCGGGCGCGCGCGCGTGACGAGCGGCATCGGCGACTTATATGATTTTGTCCTAACCACGTGACGGGCGGCTGGCGCCAGATGCCGCCTGGCCAGCTAATCACAGACTGCACCTATGACAAGCAAGAGGTCGGTGTGAATTCAAGCTTCGCCGAGCTCGTCGAAGAGCCGTGCTGCTTAGATGGTCCCAGGGCCCGAGACCTCGACCGTTCTGGAAGGTCGCTCGTCTCTCATCAAGGTTAGCCTGTGCGGTATAAAGAGCGCAGAAAGGCGACGCCAACACACATTCTGAAGGTTGTTCACACAAGTGGCTGAGCACGCTCCACATGGCAAACATGTCATGAATGGACCTCGGACATGATGCTCCTTGCCTTCCCGGGCGAAAAAAAACAGCTCACGGACTAGATCAAATTCACTAGCCCTAGAAGCGAAATAAATTAAGCATCGAAACGTGGACACGATGAGATCCCAACCTATGGTGTGAGACAAGCCTGTGACAGATGAGTCCACCACTAAGCCGAGATGCGAGGAAGGTCGGAGTCGGGGTGGGGACGGGCCATCGGGAAATAACTGAAGAGCTCCAGCCACGACATGCACTATATATTTGGCGACAACCGACACGGCCCCCTGTGACCTCAAGACGGCCCAAGATGGCCTCAAGACTGCCGAAGGGGCCTTCGAGACGTCCCAAGAGTGCCCCAAGCGCCTTCCCAAGAGGGCCTCGAGAGGCACACATCAACGTTTTTCCCATGGCTGTTCAATATTTTTGGGGTCTTCGCCTTTTCGAGCTTCCGACGACCCAAGATGGCCCAAGAGCCCTCCAACAGAACCCCAAGACGGCCGAAGAGGCTCCCAAGAAGGCTTCAAGACGGCCTAAGAGGGCTCCCAGACGGCCCAAGATGGCCCCAAAGACTGCCTCACAGGAGGCCAAGACAGCCACAAGGCGGCCCAAACGAGCTCCATGAAGGCTCCTCGACGAGTGAAGACGAAAGGTGTCACATGTAACGGCCTTCCTCCTCCTCCTCCCTCACCTCCTCCTCCTCCTCCGCCTCCTCCACTTCCTCCTCCTCCTCCTCCTTCACATCATCATCACCACCTCCATTATCACCACCTCCATCATCATCATCATCATCATCATCATCATCATTATCATCATCATCATCATCATCACCACCATCATCAACATCAATATCAACATCATCATCATTATCATTATCATCATCATCACCATCATCATCACCACCATCATCATCATCACCCTCATCAGCACCATCACCATCATCATGATCATCACCATCACCATGAACATCATCATCACCACCGCCACCACCACCATCACCACCACCTCCACCACCACGATCATTATTATCATCATCATCCGCATTATCCTCATCACCATCATCATCATCATCATCACCATCATCATCATCGCCATCATCACCATCATCATGACCACCATCATCATCACCAGCATCGTCATCGTCATCATCATCATCATCGTCATCATCATCACCACCACAATCATCATCATAATCATCATGCGGGTCATCCACATCATCCGCATCACCAGCATTACCATCTTCATCACCATCACCAGCATGATTTCGCATCGTCAGCATCATCCTCATTATCATCTTCACCATCAGCATCAACATCCTCATCACCACCATCATCATAACCATCATCACCATCAACATCATTGTCACCGCCACCACCGCCGCCACCACCAACACCATCATCACCACCACCATCACCATCATCACCATCATAACCGTACAGATCACCATCACCATCACCACCATCGACATCATCATCAACATCATCATCAACATCGTCATTCGCATCATCATCAACCTGACTATCATAACCATAAACATCACCATCACCACCACCATCATGGACATCACCATCACCATCATCATCAACATCATCATTCGCATCATCACCACCATCATCATCAGCATCGCCATCATCACCATCACCATCATCATCATCACAATCATCATCACCACCATCATCATCATCACCCTCATCACCACCATCACCATCACCATCACCATCGCTATCAACAGCACCATCACTATCACCTTGACCATCACCATCGTCACCACCATCAGCATCAGCATCAGCATCATCATCCTCATCCTCACCATCACCATCATCATGATCATCGCCATCACCATCAACATCATCATCACCTCCGCCACCACCACCATTATCACCACCACCATCATTATAATCATCCTCATCCGCATTATCATCATCACCATCATCATCATCGCCATCATCACCATCATCATGATCACCATCATCGTCATCATCATCACCGGCATCGTCACCGCCACCATCATCATCATAATCGTCATGCGGGTCATCCGCATCATCCGCATCAAGAACATCACCATCTTCATCACCATCACCATCATGATTTCGCATCATCAACATCATCCTCATTATCATCTCCATCATCAGCATCAGCATCCTCATCATCACCATCATCATAACCATCCTCACCATCAACATCATCGTCACCGCCACCACCGCCGCCACCACCAAAACCATCATCATCACCAACATCATCATCATCATCATCCCCATCATAACCATACACATCACCTTCACCATCACCATCATCGACATCATCATCGAACTCATCATCATCAACATCATCATTCGCATCATCATCATCAGCATCACCATCATTATCACCATCATCATCACCATCATTATCATCATCACAATCATCCTCACCATCATCATCACCATCACCACCACCATCATCACCACCATCATCACCACCATCATCATCACTATCATTATAATCATCATCATCATCATCCTCATCACCATCATCATCCACATTATCATCATCATCGTCGTCATCATCATCATCATCATCATCATCATCGTGTCGGCTCCCCCAAGCCTGGGGACACGAGGTATCATACGCGACGGCCTCCCGCTCTTCTCGAGCAGTCGCCACCCAGAATATAGGGCTGGCACGGTGGCGGGACTTCCCGCAGGCAGCTGAATAGATGGCGACAACCGACACAACAGTAGTGCCGTTGGACATGCGGATCGCTGTCGAGTCTTCAAAGGGACGCAGATCGGCACCTTGCTTGGCGCATTTATCTGCATGCGTGTTACCAGTTACCGCCCGTCAAAATGCGTATTGCGCGGGCGGGCGACATTATGTCTAAATGAGCCTTCACTTGATGCATTACTGTGTTATCGTAGTCAATGTGTCGGGATCGCCTGTGCATCTCCGTCCGGAGATCACAATGAGGAGCCCAACCACCGGTGACAACATGCTCAGGCCGGCGCTAAGATTCTATCACCCAGTCGCAGTCCCTGGAGAGAATATACTTGGAATCCGCACCAAAGGTAGCGTGCAGCAAACATACAAAAGGGTCACCGTTTCTGATCCGGGCATGGACTGAACGAGTACATGGTAAGATTCGAAGGCGGCGACGACGGGATGCGTGCCGACAGAGACGGCCGAGAAACCTCATCTTCGTCGCAGTGGAGAGGGGCCGTGCTTTCGTGAGCCATCCCCGAGGGCAGGCGACGTGAGAACGGCACTCGAAAACTTCGGGAGATCCCAGCTAATATTGAGGTCCATGGCAGGCCCAAAGAGCAAGCGCTCAGGATCTGGAGCAATCCTAAAATACTAGAGAGCATCCTGGGGATAACGAGCACGCACTTGGTGTACATGGTCAGGCATGCCATAGACTTGTCGAGAGAGCAATGCCACCAGACAATCCTAACACATATGCGATATATCTGCCTTCTCAGAATTCACTGCATGGCTACACAGAGAAAAGACGGGAGCGAAATGTCGTGCACCTGCGATCACTGCCTGAAGTGCCGTCGACTGCTGGTTACCCCACCCCTCCGACCTGGACTTCAGTATGCGATGGAAGGGGGCAAGGGCGGGCCAACGAGGTGACGTAGCACTGGGTGTTCGGGGGCACTCTGGCGCCAGGACCACGTTTCAACACCTCTGGCGATGAGGATCTCAAAACCTCTCGCGGCAACAGTGTCAAGGGATACCCTATGGCACTGAGGCGTTACCCAATCCACTGCAGAGTCCTTGGTCCATCCAAACCAAGTCATCTGGCGACGGTCGCAGATGCAGGACCCGTCAGAGTGTCAAAACAAATACTCGCATCAACGTGGGTCCGCGTCCAAGCAGACACTTAGTCGACAAGGTGTGTGGGCACGAGTCGATCCCTAACCATCGCGAAGCATCGTCCAACACCAGATCCATGGCAGCAACACGGTGGGACCGCGTAGCCAGTGCAATCTGATAGTGCTGGCCACGCCGCCTCCTCCTCCTCCTCCTCCTCCTCCTCCTCTTCCTCCTCCCCTTGCCACACTCCTCCTGCCCCCCTGCTCCCGTCCTGCTCCTCGGCGTTTCGCCTGACTTGGAGCTTGAACGCTCTATCAGCTACACAAATGGAGGGTGGTCGTTTTCATAATGAGGATCTCGCTCTTGCGCCACGCAGCATCCTCTTACCATCCAAGATGCGGCTGCCGCCCTAGTCCCGCGCGCCTTTGCTTTATAAGTTTCCAGCAGCCATGCAGACTGAATGGGGGGATCACACGGTGCTTTTGCCTCAGCGCGTTGTGAAACGCATGGGTCTCTAACACTTCCAGTCATTGCAAAATCTTCTGCGTTTTCTGAGAAGCATTTAGTTGGGTACTTGTTCGGACCTCATGCTGCACGGCTTTTGGCTACATTTACATTTTTCTTAATCTCTCTGGGGAATCTTCCACGTTTCATGCGCAAAGGGATTCCGAGGAGTAGTTGCATGGGTAGGCGGCGACTCCCTTTTACAACTGTGCTCTCTCTTTATACTTTCGCGGGCTTTCTTGTCCTACACGTTGACGCTTGTGATGCTCAGAATGATGAACACGGATTCCGTTCCAAAACCGGGATTTCGCGAGAATGGCAGACCCACTGGGCGTTCAGCGTTGACAGCAGCCTTCTCCGTAGTCAGAAGGATTCGAGGGTGTTTTGCTTCTGAGGAGTGGTCTTTGGATTCGAGGGTGTCTTTATTGCCGCATCGTTGCTGGATCCTGGGTTCATTCTGGTCCTCCTCCACCTCCTCCTATATCCGCGATTGGCACCTGCCCCCATTTTGGACAGGTGGTTCCCAAGGTCAGGCGTGCCGGCCGAACGTTCTGAGCACGTCGCACAGTGTGTGTATCCAATTGAAGGTCGTTTTACTGTCGTTTTGTCGCACCTCCCAAATTTCTTCTCCACCTCCTCGTCCTCCTGCGCTCACGCGGGGGACAGCGTCTGATCATCTGCTCCTGTGTACCTGGCAAGGGCGGCCGCGCCTGGAGGGGTGGCGCTGGCGGGGCGGTTCTCATACATTCTTCTCCCTCCTCCTCCTCTCTCCCCCGTTCCTCCTCCTCCTCCTCTTCCTCCTCCTCCTCCTCCTCCTCCTCCTCCTCCTCCTCCTCCTCCTCCTCCTCCTCCTCCCCCTCGTCCTCCTCCGAGGCCCTCCCCACTCCCCAGAACCCCGACGTCGTGCCTTGTGCAACACGTGCGCCCCCCAGAAACCTGGACCCCTCCCTAGGGACTTCGGCCCTGGGGCCCCGTGAGGGCCCCGAGAGGCGGAACATAGTCAGAACCACACGTCGTGCTTCTCTTCGCGACGCGAGGGGGTCCGGGTCCACTCGGCCCCTCCTTGGCCTCCTGCTCCTCACGGGGGGGTCGCTCTGCCTTTTCGGCTCCCGCCCGCGGCGCGCGCGCGCTTGGAAGCGCGGCTCGGGCGGCGCGTCGAGCCCACGCGGGCGGGCCGGCCGAGGGCCCCGAGGGCCCGATCACCACGCGAGCCTCTCGTCGGCCGCAAAAGGCAACATGCCGCAGCAGAAGGCGAAGCTCAGCGTCCGCAGACCGAACGGGGTGGTGTCGGGCCAGCAGGCCATGTCCTCAGCAGTGGCAGGAGCAGACAACATCGAACCGGGCACTCGGGCTGGATGGGAATCGAATCGAACTGAATTCGATGCGGCACCCATGCAAACAACGGGCCGCATCGGATCGCCCGAACATCGGAATCGAATCGAATCGGGCCGGCCGGAGCAAATATTGAATCTGACCGATCGGATCAAACTGGAACATGAATGGCAAGAATCCTGTCACACATGGCTCCCTGCTGTGAGGATGTCCGTGATGCTGTCAGGAGGCTTGCGAGGAGTCGGAACATGCAGGCTGTCTTAGAAGCTGGCTAACACCCAACATCACCATAACTCGTTTCCCTCGTATGGTACTCAAAGGCGCGGGGGGAAGATGGGCAAAACGAAATGGTGACAGTCGTACATTTGGCAGCATTGGAAATTGAGGTCGAAAACACCAAGACACCGCATGAATGCGAGAATGGAGGGGGACATAATCGAAGCAACAATAAGGGTATCAACATGCATGACGCGGGTCGGTCTTTACCCGTAGTCACCCTGGCCTGCATTCCCTGGACTGCAAGGACTCACGCTCGAATTACGCACGCCCCAGACCGCCCGCCCGAGCGCGTGCACATGTGCGCATGCGCGAGTGTGGGTGGATCCAGTATGTGTGTGTGTGTGTGTGTGCGTCCGCAGTCGCACTGTTCTTGTAGCCTTTTTTCGCTGTCTCACACTCTTAAGTAAAGGAAAGAGCGAGGTACGAGTGATGACGTTCAGGTGGGGCGAAGCCCTAAAGGGAGGGGTTCCAGGGGAGGGGGGAAGCGTGCGGGAATGGTTGGTAAAGGCCGCCCGCCTCCCCACGACGGCCCCAAAGGCGCCCAAGACGGCCCAAGAGTCGCCCAAGACAGCCCAAGAGGGGTGCGAGACGGCTCCAAGACGGTCCCAGAGCGCTCCGAAACGGCGAAGATTGGGTCCAAGATGGTCTGAGAGGACCCCAAGACGCTTTAAGATGGCTTCAAGACGGCCCAAGAGGCTTCCAAGAGGCTTCCGAAGAGGGCCCCGAGAGGCAAACATCATTGATTTTCCAATGGTTTTTGAAGGTTTTTCGGGTTGCAGCCTTTTCGGGCCAAGAACGGCCCAAAACAGCCCAAGAGGCTCCGAAGATCGTCCCACGACGGCTCAAGAGGCCCCCAAAAGGGCCCGAAAACAGTCTAGGAGGGCCCCAAGACGGCCCCAGAGGAGCCCAAAACACCCCAAGAGGGCCCCAAGACGGCCCCAGAGGGCCCCAAACGAGTCCGAGGAGGCTCCCAAGAGGGCCCCAAGAGGCCCCCAAGAGAGCCCCAAGACGGCCAAATGCCTCCAAGAGGCCCCAAGACGGCCCAACAGGAAAACGGCCCAAGAGGGCCCCAAGATAGTCCAAACGGGTCCCAAAAGGGCTCCACAAGGACCCCCAAGAAGGCCCAGAGACGCCAAGTAAAAGAGCGTTCGGTAACGCAAAAAGTTCTTCACACCAAGGCTCCCAACAGCGAACGGCCTGAGGCCCACACACGGCCCAGTGACGGACACAGCTTTGACACCAAGGTCCCCGCCCCCGTACGCACGACGACGTGAAACGTCTGGGGAAGCCTTCGCAGGCTTCCCGCCCAGCTCATGCGCCTAGCCCAAGTCTCCCAGTACGAACGGTGGTGTGCGTAATTTCGGTCAAGTTGTTGAAGCGCTCTTTTCGTTTCCGTGCCGGCCCAGGTGAATTGCGTCTAATGATGCCTTCTGGGCCTCTTCGAACACTTATGTGTAGTTTCTCACGCCGTCCTGCATGGTTTCGCCATCTTCCTCGCGCATTGGTTTCGGCCACCTTTTTATTTGCATGCGTCAACTACGTTTCTGACGTCCTGACCTTTCACTGGCAGACGCTCGGTGTGAAACCACCACCTAGGCGCGCCCCATCTTATCTCGGCTGCACGCAAGAGTGACCCTGGGCAAGAGTGACCTTTGGTGCGCGGCTTTCCGGGGCCGTGGGGGAGGCCAATTGCAAGCCATCTAAGCGCGGCAGCCAGAGCTGGCGGGACCGCTGTGGGCCCGCACTAGGGGTCACTCGGCGAAGGGTCACTGTTACGCGTAGCGGATAACCACTCGCTGCGCTGTATCAACTGGCCGGGGAGCAAACAAGTGTGTGAGTGTGTGGGAGGTAACTACTGCAACAGGCCTACTTGATCACATGAGTGCCTCGAAGCTCACATGCTGCCGAGACAGCCTCTCCGACTCCACAGGGCTGTTCATGCCACCCTCTCACGAAAACATATCCAGCACCAGTTAGGCCGCGTCTGCATCAACTAATCACTGTCCCAAGCAACTTGCGAAGCCATCACCAGATTCCTCGCATACATCTCCCCCCTCTCGGTACGGCATTGGGCAACAATCTGGCAGCGTAGGCAGCTTCCAGCCCTGGCCCCGCGGCAAGCGATAGGCAAGCTAAGGCCACTTCCCCCTGTGGACCGCGCCGCGTGTCGCAGCAGCGCTCGCACCTGACCAGAAGGGCAGCAACAATGATGACCGAGCGAGACCATATTAATGTCAACAGTCGCCATGCAATGAGGCTCTGGCTTCTGTCGCGGCTGATGCGGGGAGCGCTGCATGCAGAAGACGAAACATGCAACGCGCGCCGTGCTGTGCCGTCTACCATTGCATGATGAGTGCCCGTCTCGACCAACACGTTGGCACTCAACACTGTGGACCAGAACGGGTCTTCAAGCGAGAACCACAGCGCAACGCGTGCTTGCAAGGACGTCTGGGCTGTGGGGGTATACACAAAGAGGCGTGCCCAGACCTCCAGCGTCGTGTTTTTCAAGACGGTGACCCCTGGAGATTTCGGCCCCTATCGTCAGGACACTTTTCCCTGGCAATTGATTTGCGGTCCTTTGGTCGTAAGCGGGCCCCACAGGCTGACATCGAGGGAAACCGCACGTGTTTTGTTCGCGCCGCCCACAGGTATGGGTACACCAAGGGCGCGTTTTGCAATCGAGCAGCACAGACAGCGAGAACGAAGACCACCACCTGAAGCGGGCAATGGATGTCGCTTCGGCAAGGGCATGGGTCCAGAAGGCCACGCTCGTAGCATGGGCACCTCCGAATCCACAATAAAAAAATCCTGCAAACCTTTCTCGTCACAAACGGGAAACGCGTGGTATTGAAAAGCTGCGGAAGGGCGTGCACAACCATCAAGATCAACTGTAATCTAGGCTAGCTCCCCGAATGCCCACATGGAACAGCTATGGACACACGCTCCCCGAACGACCATGATGGGAACAAGTATGGACACACGGATCGTACTATAAAAGGGACTGCCAAGTCGCCTCTTAGATCATATTGTGGTGCCCAAGCGGGAACTCCAGCTATGGCCGACAACGGCGAGCGAAGAGTGAGGATGAGAAGCGAAGAGGTGGAGGAGGAACCTCAACAGGCCAGTACAACCCATGTGTCCCCGCATGCTTTACGTAGGCGGGCTCGACTGATACGAATCAGAGGGAGCACACGTCGTTTTTCAACAGAGACCGATGTTGAAAAAACAACCTTTCTCGGGCCTCTGGCCGAAGACAAGCATGATGTAAAATCATGTGTTTCTGCAGAGGCTCGCACATGGCCTGAAAGCAAGATGTACGGTCGTGAACTTTTGGATGGCATGTCGCCTCAGCGGCTCCTGCGACACGCTATGCCTTGCGAGTGGATCGCGTGTCGCTCCACACCGCGGGGCGGGAGGTTTGGGACAGCTCGGGACGTGGACGCCTCGGGACCGCGAAGTGGATAGCGTGTCGCGCCGAAGCGTGGTGGGCCAGAACCAGCGGTGCGACACGCTGTCCAAGCGGTCTTGACCGTAAGACCCTTGCAGACAAGCTGCGACAGGTCTCCGTCATGCCCTCGTCAAGCAGGGGGCGATCGGGCTCGAAGCTCCCGAGGTCCCAGATGCCCATGCTCATCACCCCGTCCCTCCTCCGCTGGCCCCGAGGCCCCGAGCAGCCGGCGCGGTGGGACGGTCTTCCAGGAAGTCGCCCAGGGTCTGCACCAGCGGACCCTCTGGGGCCCTGGGCTCGGCCTAATCCACCGCGCACACCTCGGGGAGGCCGCGTGCGTCGAACATGATCGACATGTCGAACAGTGGCGGCGCGCACAAGGGGATAGGGGGAAGGGGGAAGGCTTCTTAGGAGGCTGCTTCTTAGAAGGCGCCAGCCTTACAACTATAGATCAGGCCTGCGTTTTCTAAAAAGCATGGTGTTCCTTAGAAGCCCTCCCCCCTCCCCCTATCCCCCCTCTGCGCGTGGCCGAGAACAGCTCCACGCCCGCCCGCCAGCCAGGGGCCGTCTGCTTCAGAAGGTCGTTCGTCGTCCTGGTGACCTCCGAGGGGCGCGCCTCGCCCGCGCCAGCAGGGCTGTTGTGGCGCTCTCCCAGTGTTGGCGGCGCGCAGAGGGGTGTAGGGAGAGGGGGGAAAGCTTCTTAGAAGGGGTCTGCTTCTTAGAAGGTGCCGGCCTTACATCTACAGACAAGGCCCGCGCCTTCTAAGAAGCAGAGGTGCTTCTAAGAAAGCTTCCCCCCTCCCCCTACACCCCTCTGCGCATGGCCGACAATGGTTGCTCCTGACGAGCTGCATGGCCTTCCGCAGCCCGTTCTCCCAGAGGGAGTCCACCTGCGCACAGGCTGCCAGCTCCTCCGTCGCGGAGTCGAGCTCGAGCGTGCCGTCAGCCTCGCCCTTGTCCTGCGGGTCCCTGGGTATGTGGACCTTGAAGATCACGGCGCGCCCAATTGCCAACGGTCGCCGTCGGCCAAGCACTTCCCCGCAGCCTCGATCAGCACGCGGTTGCCACAATATGCTTCGACAGCGTACGAAGTGGCTGAGCACATCATAGACGGCTGATTACCGCCTTCTCGTGCTTTCGGGCTTCGATGGCGAAACTTGGGCGGGGGCGTGTTCCGTTGAGTGTTGCCCTCGATCTGCCGAGCTCCCATCCCCACGCGAGCTCCACAATATTATCGCTTTCGAAGCATCACCGAAACTTCGCGCCACGCGCCCCGTGAACATCTTCTCGCCCGCGCGCCCCTCCCGCCGCCTCCCTTTGGAGAAGGGCATCCTCTCTGACCCGGACCGCGACGCCAGAAGCGAGGCTATCTTCGCGCCGTTGGGGGTTGATCTGGTTTTCGTAACGTCCGTTTGTTCCCCCGACTGAGGAAGAACCTCAGGTGGGGACTGGCTCGGGGGGAAGAACATCGACGTCGAATCAGCGATGCATCGCTGATAGGTCGGCGACAGGCCCCCGATGGCAAATTCACACGCTCCTGGGTGGGGTGGGCTATCGGGCTCCGATTGGCGATCAATGCGCGATCGGGGTTCGATGCGTCCCCCCCCGAGCCGATCCCCCCCCTCAATTGCCCCCGGTGGTTCTCGGACCTTCACTCGGGCCTCCGCCGGCCCTTCGGGACGATCTGGGCACCCCCGGGAACGCTCTCGACGAAGGCCTCCTGGCGCCCCTCGGCTGCCGCCGATCGCGGCGTGGTCCCGCGCCGCTGCGGCCAAAAGGTTCCCCCGGACTTCGGGTGCCGCGGCGGGCCGAGGCCCGCGCGGGAAGTAGGCGTCGAAGCAGTGGGACTGCGCGGCGGGGGGGCAGGTCGCGGGCACGTCGAGGTGGTCCGCGGCCTCGGGCCGCGAGCCCGGCCCAGGAGAGGCGAAGTCCAGACGGAGGCGAAGTCCAGACGGAGACCGAGCACCCCATGCGGACGTACTGCGCATGGACTCAGCCTCCCAATCAGGAGAAGCTGAGTCCAGACGGAGTAAGCCCACCGTGTGGACTTCTCCGCATGGTCTTAGTCTCCGCCGAGCGGCGTGCTCAAATCTCTCCGATTGCCCTGGTGCCGATCCGACTCACACGCCGAGCAGGGGCTACGAGCTGCCATCACCTGCCCTTGCTCTGCAGCAGACTCACATGGTGAGACCCTCGGGCATAAGAAATCGAAGGGCGCAATCGCCATCCATTTTTAGCCTTCCCAGGGGCCTTGGGGGGATGGGCACTCCCTGTGGGGCACCTGCTGGCAGGCTGATTTCTTATCTGCTGCCCCTACTGTAGCTTCTGCATGCTACTGTCCAGCGACGCTTCGCGTCGCTCGGGAGCCGTTTCCTGGGAGCGAGGCGAGCCGTTCCTGCACGGAGCCATCGGCGCAGGGATTCTCATCCGACACTGTGCGCGTGAGGAGGAGGAGGATCTGTCTCAAGACATGCAGCTTCGCATAGCCATCGCCAACAGGGCCGCGGCACGCTGGCTGAGGGATCGAAGGCCGTCGGCCGCCAGAGCCGCGGAGCCCAGGTCGCCCGCACTCTTCGCCTCGAAGGCGCTGGTCAACAAGGGGAGCTGAGGAAAGCGAATGAAGGGTTTCCAACACTAGCCATCCTAATGGCACAGATGGGGGCAACAACAACGGTGAGGGTCTAACCCCAACACCGTCATCATCCCTGCCCCCCGCTTCAAATCAAACATGTCAGCGCTGCCAGGCTGGTGACGGCCCAGCCGGGAGTCGCGCTCCACGGCTCGCGGCCCACCAGCAGCAGAAGATGCCCGCCGACCCCCGAGGACAGCCCTGTAGAGGGCTCCCGGGGACAACAGGGGGGATGAGCTGCCCACTGATCAACCACGGAGTCCACATGTGCCCTGGGGTCGGCCTCGTGGCGCCGTGCAAGAGAGACCGAACCCTCACCGAATCCTCACCGAGGGCACATCGGCGGAAGAATCTGGGAGGCTTTGTGGCAACGGATGACGACAAGGAGGGGGAGGAGGATCCCCACACCCTCGAATGGGCGAAGTCCCCACACCACGCCCCCCCCACTTCTTCTACCTGCAGCCTCCGTCGTCGGCCCTTCTCACATGCCTCTGTGTTACCTACGAGTCTTTGTTTCGCACCTCGCCGTGGCGTCAGGAGTGTGTGTGTGTGTGTGTGTATGTGTGTCGTGTCGTGTCGTGTTGTGTTGTGTCGTGCTGTGTTGTGTTGTGTTGTGTTGTGTTGTGTTGTGTGTGAGGGGGTCGATGACCATCGACCTGCAGACGAACTTGCCACGTGTCCTTTGTGATTCGCCCTGCCTTGCTTTTGAATTGTCTCGCAGTGCTTCGATGAGTTCTCCCTGGTCATACGATTCATGTCATTCCTGCCCAAGACTTGCTGCGCTCTGCTTCGGTCGTAGGAACGGGAATATGAGGATCGGGGGGGACAAGGCGGGGCTGGAACCACCGGTCGGGAAAGATGAGCAGGAGGGATATGAGGATGATGAGGAGGAGGATCAATGTAAACCCAAGGCGCATCAACGATGTTGTCGTCCACCCTCCCTCCAAATTCCCTCTTCATAGGTCCCTGCAAGCGACTGTCCTGATTGCGGAAAATGCCCCACTGGAAAACAACCGTCTGAAGATCCTCAATTGTCCCAGATATCCACTTGGGACTTCAACATCGCGAATCAAAGTGACTGCTCCGTCCTAACAATCTTAAGCCGAACAATAACTAATTTGATGAGGAATGCCTGCCGCATCACGGCGAGATCTACATATTTTGAACAGAATCCGCTCTGCATCCTCGAAACTGCTGCTGAAAGCTGTTAAGACGAATGTGCGCGGCGCTTGGGAAAGCGCCACATTTAGAATAGGAACCGTCATCCATCTTTGAAGCTGTTCAAAATCTAAAGACGAAATTGCGCGGAGCCTAGGCGAGAGCCACATTTTGAAAACGGCCCTTGAAACGGCTGCAAACTTTTAAGGGGAACGTGAACGGAACTGACACGACAACCACCTTTTCAAAACGACGCGCCCTCCATCCGTGTAACTGTTCCACCCTTGAAGCTTCAGGGTCATACATGTTAGCCAGCATGGGCCTCAAACAATTTGTTTCTACCAACATATGTTGTGCATTCTATGTCGTAGAATCGTTATGGAACACAGACTGCTGTGCAGTAAATATAAAACAATATCTATGCATGATGCAATCTACGTGGTGCAAATTGTGTGATTCAATCTATATTGTGCAACCTATATGGTACACTATCAGTGGTGCAAGCCGTGTGGTGCAACATGGGTGGTGCAACATATCATGGGAAACCAATGTGAAACAAGATACGTGGGGCAAACGATGCTATGCAATGCAAAGCAATGCAATGCACTGCAAAGCGCGGCGGCGACGAAGCCAACTGGCCGCCAGACCGACGCAGAGGCCCAGACGATGGGCGGCGACGAGGCGGCGAGGGGGCGGCGACGGCGGCCACAGATCCGCCAGACTGCCGCACAGACCCTATTCCCTACCCCAGACATGCGAATGCCTAACTGCAAACACAGTTTGGGGAATGGTGAGGAAATCTCGGGCGAAACGCCCAGCCCGCCCTGCCGACACGTCTGATGGTGCGACACGGAGGAGCCATTTTCAAGGAATAGGGATGATGATGAGGAGGAGGAGAGGGAGGACTTCAGGGAGGAGGAGTGACCGTACCTTGAGGAAGAGGAGGGGGATGAGAAGGAGGATGAGGAGAAGTATGAGGAGGGGGAGGAAGAGGACGAGGAGGAGTTTGACCCTGGATCGCCCTGAAACTTTCCAGAGCCGCATACGCACGCAAGATCCTCTTAGACCCCCACACCCTCTGAAGAACCTTCTTCTCCAGGCAACACAAGGCGAGTAGAAGGATGCCCGCGCAGCCACCCACTGAGTTCCACGGATACCACCAAGAACAGTAACAATAATACTATAAGCCAGTACTCATACTGATGATAGCACTAACGGAAAACGATCGAAGTAATGATAACACTAATAATTTTAATGCTTACCCAAACCAGAGCCACAACAACGAGGCGATGATGACGACTCCAGGGACCCGGAACCTCAAAACATTGACACCCCCCTCTCGCTCCCGCCGGCTTCCGCCGAGCCTCCGCCGGCGAGCCCGACGCCGCTCTACTTCCGCCAGCCTCGACCGATGGACGAGGACGCGCCGAAGGCGAGGCCCCTTCTGGAGCGCGCGACCTGCCCTCCTTTTTCTTTCTCCCCCTCCTCCTCCTCCTCCTCCACTTTCTCCTCCTCCCCGTCCTCCTTCTCCTCCTCCTCCTCCTCCTCCTCCTTCTCTTGCTCCTACTCCTCCTTCTCCTCCTCCTCCTCCTCCTCCTCCTCCTCCTCCTCCTCCAACTCTTCTCGTCTTTCTGAAAGACACGGTCACTCCGCCTCCTCCTCCTCCTCCTCCCCCTCCTCCTCCTCCCCCTTTTCCTTTTGCTCCATCTCCTCTCTCCTCCTCCTCCGTCGCCCGAGGAGTGGGATGAGCGGCCGCGACGCCGACAGGAGGGGGGCCAAACTTCTCGTCGATTAAAACAGGATCGAGGCGCGCCAAAGGCCCCCGCCGGCAGCATCTGCGACGCCGCCATGCGCAAGCGGGTGAGGCCGCAGCAGGTGGGGAACTTGACCGGCCCAACCTGAGCGGCCAGAGGACGAGGATGGCGACGATAAGCGGGAGCCGGCGAGGAGGGGGAGGACAAGGACGTGGTTGATGATTGCGGCGACGACGAGGACACGGATGAATGATGATGCATGCTGCTGCTGATGGTGATGATGATCAAGGCCCTACTGCACCGCAATATGCGCAGAGTGCCAGCACGCCAATGCCTTGCCACGCTCGAGTTGGGGCCACCGCTGCCAAGAGCGCAAGCGGACTTGGCTCTCCAATCACGCTCGCTAAGGCCGAGACCTACGCGTGGCCATGCTGCCCTCTAGCTGTCGGGAAATTTTGGAAATTTGCAATGCGAACTTGCAGGACAACATCGGGAAAAACCAATTACTCCGACGGAAGAACCCCACATAAGAATCCTCTGGGCGAATCTGGAAAAAGCCATCACCGTCGTCCTCGTGGTTGGTGAGGCGTCCTGGCTGTCTCTTCTGCGTATATTTCCTCTCGCCTTGGCGCGGGCCCCCCTTCCACTCCTTACGTTGTCCCCATCCTCGCCCCCCTGTTTGTTCCGCGCCCCGCCACCTCCTCCCCTTCCTGTTGCATGAGCGCGCATGTCGATGTTCCTCGGCGCCGTCGCCGCCACGGCCAGCACAGGCGCGTTCTCTACTGGTCACGTCGCGCAGCCGTTGGGACAACCCCGCGGGCCAGGCTGTCGGGACAACCCCGCGAGCCGTTGGCGCGCAAGACCAAGCCGTTGGGACAACCCCGCGGGCTTCGAGCGAGGCGCAGCCGCGCTCAGGCGGAAGGCAGCACGAAGCCCAGCTCTGCCGCGAGCTGCTTCGCCTCCGCCCTGGACAAAACCGCTCTCTTGTCGAACTCCAGGAGCGCCTTCCGCAGGGACGCCGGCGGCCCGCACTCCAGGAACTCTCGCGGCGGCGGCCGCAGGATCAGCATGTTCCGCATGCACGTGGCGCGGGAGAACATGACGTAGAGGTGCAGCCACCACTGCTCGTCCGACATGCCCGTGCGGCCAGCGTCCTCGTCTCTCGCGCAGTCGATGGTGACGCCCTTGCGCAGCGTCTGGCCCTGCGACAGCGTGGAGGTCAGGTAGGACGCGTGCGTCAGGGTGAACCCCGAGCGGCGCGCGCTGTGCGCCCCCGAGCTCTGCCATGTGAACTCCCTTTCGCTGGGCCTGAACATCAGCAAGCTCCGCGCCCGCGCCTCGGCCTGGCCGTCGTCGTCGGCGCTTTCGGCGCCCTGTCGCAGCACCTCGGCGACCTCGTTGTAGATCAGAGACCCCTTGAAGCCGTGTACCTGCAGCCAGATTCCCTGCGGTAGGAAGCGGGGGCGAAAGAGCTGGCCTGCCGAGCACTCCTCGTAGCGCTGCTCGGATTACCAACATGATCTGCGGGCCCCATAGGGAGGGGGCTCCCGCTTGAGACTTCCTCGCAATTCACTCAGAGACGAGGCTCCCGCCTGAGACTTCCTCCAAATTCAGGCTTGACGAGCCCAAAAGTGACGACAGTTACAGGTTTCCGATGACCCGCTCGGATTACCAACATGATCTGCGGGCCCCATAGGGAGGGGGCTCCCGCCTGAGCCTTCCTCAGAATTCACTCACAGACGAGGCTCCCGCCTGAGACTTCCTCCAAATTCAGGCTTGGAGCCCAGAAGTGACGACAGTTACAGGTTTCCGATGACCCGCTCGGATTTCCAACATGATCTGCGGGCCCCATAGGGAGGGAGCTCCCGCCTGAGACTTCCTCCCAATTCACTCACAGACGAGGCTCCCGCCTGAGACTTCCTCCAAACTCAGGCTTGACGAGCCCAAAAGTGACGACAGTTACAGGTTTCCGATGACCCGCTCGGATTACCAACATGATCTGCGGGCCCCATAGGGAGGGGGCTCCCGCCTGAGACTTCCTCACAATTTACTCAACGATGATGAGGATGAGGATGATGCGTGGTGGTGAAGATGAGTGGTGAAGAGGATGATGATTGATTGTGAGTGGTGGTGGCGATGATGATGTTTGAATGAGGATGATGCCGATGCCGATGATGATGATGATGATGATGATGATGATGATGATGATGATGATGATGATGATGATGTTCGTGAGCGTGTGAGAGAGTGCGAGTGATGATGATGATGAGTATGTGAGTGACTAAGCATGTGAGAGAGCATCATCGATGATGCTGATGAGGTTGATGATGAGAGAGTGTGAGTGTGTGTGAGTGTGTGTGTGTGTTCCTGTCCTGTTCCTGCGCGGGGTGTCCAGAGGAAACAAGAACCCCACCTTGGATGTGGGGAAATATCGAACACCAACCGCCATCCATCCGTGGAATTGTTGGCACCTTTCGAACAGATGCGCGCGGCGATTCAAGCGAGAACCAACTTTTGGACAAGACAACCATCCAGCCGAGTAGCTGCGAGAGGCTTTCAGACGAATGCGCGCGTCGCTGACTCAAATGGCCGCAGGAAGGTCCCCAACTATGGTCTTTCGAAACTTGCATTTACTTGTTGAGTAGGCCGACGTGTTGAAGCGTACATGGAAAACAAATGCGAGTAAAGACGTGCTGGGTGCAATGCAACGTTTGTTTCGCAAGCGTAATCGTACAATGCTGTGTGTTGGAGCGTGCAGGCTTGGATACGCGATTGGCTGTATGCAATCTGAGCTCTTCAATCTAAGCTGGGCGATTGCAGCTGCGAGGTCTGAGCCCCACACTCTGGGACATGCAACATCGACAACAAACATGACATGGACAATGTTAAATTTGAGACCGCAGGGCTGGAGTTGGAACTGGGCCCTTAAGGTTCGACCGCTGTACCACCCTCGACAACTCAGAAGTGGTTGACGCGCCACTTCAATGTCGCCCTCTTTCACCCATTCAATGTTCCCCGCTCCAATGTCGAAGCAGAGCGAAACTCGGTCTGAGTGGGTGCGACTCGGAAGTTCCACGATGACCGACATTGGAAAACGGGGCGCCAACAAGTACCTTGCGCGCACGACAGGATAACTGCGTGACACATTGTGAAAATCAATTTGGTCGAGGGTAATTTCGTTTAGAACCTCCTCATTGTGAATTTTCTCTTCGTCGCTTCACCTGCATGTTGCCTGCATCCCTCTGTTCTCTCGCCTCTCTGCTCACTTTTACTCCCCGTGCCGCTTGGGCTCAAGGGGCCTGCCGCGTCATTGCGGCCCTCGAATTGGATGCCCCCCGCAACGCGGGCGCGGCCAGATGGGGCAATGCCCGGGCTGCCGCTCGCGCCCGCACGACCCGCCCAGGGCAACGGAATCAAATAATGTTTGATGCGCAGCAATGCCACGTGCGGCGTTCTGATGAGAAACGTACAACGACTGCGGCCCCCAGGAGCGTCCGGCCTTTTGAGCCAGCGACAAGTAGATGTGGTTTCTTGAGTCCGACATGTCTGTACATTAAAAACCGCAACAACTACTTTAACAACTGGGGGTGAATCTGGAGTGCGGAAAATCAATACGGAACGCTCATGGGGGCCGTGATTGCTGCATATTGACAACCGAGATGCCCATGCGCCAAGGGCAAAGGGCCAAGGGCCAACTTGTCACCTCGCATTCGCATTCGTTCCGCACGGCCGACCCTCGACAACATTCAGAAGTGGTTGACGCGCCACTTCAAAGTCGCCCCCTTTCATTCATTCAATGTCGCCCCCTCCAATGTCGAAGCAGAGCGATTCTCGGTCTGGGGCCTCCAAGGCGCCCCCGAGAAGACAATCTCTCTCTCTCTCTCGCTCTCTCTCTCTCTTTCTCTCTCTCTCTCTCTCTCTCTCTCTCTCTCTCTTTATGTTTTACACATATATATATATATATATATACACACACATATTTATACAAGGCTGCAGTGGCGCTTCGCGCCATGCACGTGGGTTCTTGAAGTGTGGTATGCAGGCGGAATAGCATGAAGGTCAAGCCGACAATCTAGCGATAACTCCTTGGTGTCTTTTCCGGCATCGCCGCTATAATAATGTGATTCGTTATCCTTCCTCCATGCTCCTTTTTCTTCATTTTCGCCATACCCTGCGCATTCTCCCCATCCTCCTCAGCTCTTTATTGTGGAGGCTCCTCCTTGGAGAGCCTCTGGGGGCCTCACAAAAGTTGTTTCAGGCTTTCTTAATGCTTTCAGGAAGTCTCCTGGGTGTATTCTGGGGGCCTCTGGGGGCTTCCTCGGGCCACCCTGCCTCCAACCGCGGTCTCCCTGAACGACCGGGTCACGATTTGGAATGCTTCGGAGGGTGTCTTGGGGCCATCTTGGGCCGCCATGGGGCTCTTTGAGGGCCATCTTGGACCCGTGTTGTGCCGTTTTGGGGCTCTCTTGGACTGCCTGGAAGCCCTTTCGGATGTTTGTGGGGCGATTTCGGAGCCTCCCAGGCGGCTTCGGACGCCCAGAAGACCGCCGTCTTGGAGCGTCGGGAAGCCGAAAAGAGGAGAACCCCCAAATCCACCAAAAACCAAAAGAAAATTAATAGATTTTGCCTCTTGGGGCCTTCTTGGGAGTGCTCTTGGAGGCCTCTTTGGGGCTGTCCTGGAGGCCTCTTGGGCCATCTTGAGGTCACGTCGGTCACTCTTGGAGCGCACTTGTGCTGTCTTGGGGGTCTCTGGGACGTCTCCGATGACCCCCCTGGTCGCCCCAGGTAAGCTGCAAAGGCTTGTCAAAACGCCCTGCGAGGCCCGGGGGGCCGCTTCGAGGCCCGTCCGGAGGGTTCCAAAGCCCCGAATCCCGGGAGTCCGTTTTTTTTTTGGGGGGGGGGGCAAGGGTTTCCCCCCCGCCAGGGCTTATAAAAATATAGGAAGAGGAAAATGTAACAACCATTTATGTCAACATATTTGTCCGTGTCCCAGGTTTTGCTCGCAAGATGTCCACCTAGTGCTTCAAGATGACCCCCAGAGCCCCCGAACATGCTCAAGGCGGCCCCAATGCGGCCCAAAAGTATCACCCAAATCGCCGAGGATACCCCAACCAAAAAATCCCACGATGGTCCCAATGTGACCT